TTTTTGTGCTGAACTGTGAGAACATTCTTTGTTTTCTTCTCCTACAGTGTCTAGCAGAAGGAGGTGATCTGAATTCCTTTGAATTTAAATCACTAACAGATTCATTAAATGACATTAAGAATTCAATAGACTCCTCAAATATCAGGTATTACTTTTTGAATATTTAATTCTTAATTACACATTTTGTGCCAGCAAGCCATTCTTACTGTATTTTAGAGGTGAACATTGATTATAATTAAGGGTTTTAATCTGGTGACTTTTACTTATATGAATGGTCCCATTTAAAAGGGGTCTTCTTAAAGGGAGCGTAAAATTAGCAGTTTTCTGTTTGAACCTATCAGTGAAGTAACCTGATTTAAAAAAAAAAAGGGGGGGGGGAGGAAAAAAAAGTGCTAAATTGATGCAGCAACAACTAGACTTTCTTGCTCTTCAGTCATTTATGACAATGCATTTATTTTAGAACATTTTCAGACTTTGAAAACCCACTAGTAAATATAAGTTCTTTAAGCCACAGAACAGTATTTCAGTATTCTTTTTGCACAGTTACTCAACCTCTTTTCTGTAAATATCAAAAGCTGGCATATGAGACAATTATAGCTTCTAACCAGCTTCCATTAGCAATATTTTAAACCAAGAAACAGAAGAACAGCCATATTGCACCAGATCAAAGGCCCATCCAGTCTAGATGGGCCATTTTTCAACAGTTGTCACAAGCAGGTGCCTGAGGGAGCATTATAAAAATAGCAAGAAGTGGTGATACTTGTCTGGAGTATACTGCAGCCTCCAGTAATTTGACTAGGATTTTTTTATCATTATAATGCTGCTAAATTATATCATTTAGAAAATATGCCTAAATGCTCAGTGTTTCCTTATATTCTCCATACTCGTATTGCTACATAACAATGGGAGGCTGCAACAAGAATATTTTTTTTTTAATTTGCAAAGATAGTAGGATGGCCTTTTGATTTTAAAAATAATTATTGAGAAATGCTGTTTTAAAACATTTTTCATTAGTAAAAACAAAAATAAAACCAAACATTAGTGAAACTTCTCTATAATCAACATTGCAAATTCCACATTGGAATGGTTTCAACTAAAGGTTGATACTGAGAAGAAGGTGATGTTTCCATTTCACCATACTTTTTTGGAGCAATTTAGCATCCCTTCATAATATTTTTATTTCATTAATTCCGCTCAAGTTAAAGTCTTCTTTAAAGTACCCAAGTCTGTTACTCCTGATTTCATGCAGCTTTTTATGCAAATGCTATTTTCACATATGTCTCTATCAAGGTGCATTACCGTGTACTATTGTGATTCATCTGAATTTTTGTATTGACTGTGTTCGTACCTTGGCTTTCACTATAGAAATATTCAGACACAACTCTTATATATGGGGATTAACGCTTTATTTTTTTTCTTATTCTTCTTCTTTTCTTCCTACAGTTGTTTTCAGAATAATGTTGAGATCCATGTTGCACATATTCAGAGTGGTCTGAGCCAGATGGGAAATTTACATGCTTTTGCAGCTAATAACACCAACAGAGACTGAAAATTTTCTTTCAAGTGTACAGCAAGTAGTTCTGGAAAATCCTCTTCCTTTCTATAGGCTTCACCAAATACCCTAACTGCCAGAAGATAAGGGAAAAGAAAACCTCTCAGAAAGGACTCTTAAATATGTTGTATCTGCTTCTTAAGAAAACCAGCATTACTGGCCAGCGTTACATTAGATTTCTCCATTTGTTATTCACATACGGTAGTTTTGCTAACTGGTAATCTCTTAGTAATTGCATTTATTATAATAAACTTGAAAACATACTTTCATATAATTTGAACTTAGTTTTTAAAAGTTCAGATTCATTCTGCACACCTTTTGCTGTTGGCTCTCCTGGTATGTTAGAAGTGATGAAGAGGAAGTGGCTCGAATGAGTAGCCACATGTCAGGTCTTTGTTATGTAAAGCTCCGCTGCTCTGTAGGTACTGAGAGCTGCCACTTCAGCCTTCGGGTAGCGTGGTGGCACCGCAGGCTGCGTGTTCCTCATCTAAAGAAGCAGCAGCAGGATACGGACAACAAACAGAAGCTGTAAACTTGAGGATGTTGGGCAGGTCTATCGATCAGTCAGTGTCTTGTTGGAACTGTTAATTTATCATAACTTATAGAAGGAGTCTGATGAAGGAATATGTAAAATGTAACTGGTAACTTTCCAGAAAGAGATTGGTAGTTATGGCTTTTTCCCTTCGCATGGGGCAAAAGAAGTGCTTTAGTTGGTATTTTATATAAATGACTGGTTAAACATACTGTTTTTCCAAATTTTTGTTTGTTTTGCACAACTTTTAAATTAGATTACTGGTTATCCAACAATACCCAACATATATAAATATGAAGATTTTTATAACTGAAGATAACCAGTGAGGTAAACTGCAAAAATAAAAAGTGAAAACCTGCCTAATGAGTACCTTTTGGAATGTTAATCTTGTAAAAAGTGTGTATTGGTTTGTTTAAATAGTCTTGTAAAGCTTCTGTGTAATGGTTTCCAGATATGAATTTTCAGAGATAGCTTGTAGAGATGTTTTTGATTCTTTTAGATGCCTCATTAAATGAGGTCTTTTATATGTTAATGTATAAAGAATATGTAAACAGGATTATTTTCAATTTTAAAATTTTGTATAGTTTAAAGATGCTTCTGTATTCTGTGTTGGTATTGTGCCACTGCAAAACTTTAGTGCAGAGTTTATATTTAGCTAAACTTGTTCTGTTAATTAAGAGAAATGCATAAATCTTTTATTCTGAAATTTGTAACTCTGAATAAATTGACCTATGAGAGTTGATATATTTCACAAAAATGCAAACTTCTTTGCAGATGGTCTCGGGTCATTTTTTTAAGAGAAGTTAATTTAATCGCTGAAAATGAAATGTTTATGAGGACAAGGTGAGTAACTGTTTTAAAAGGTATTTGGGAATTTTACAAGGGATATTACAAAATAATGCTAAGCACAAATTTCTGTGGGTAACTCAGTAAAATTAACCTCTCATAATGCAATAGAACATTGTAATAGTCCCTGCAATTGCTTTGCAACTACGTTACCCATTACTGCCCTGCCAGGGCTCTGCTTGCTCCCGGGCACACACATTCAGTGTATGTGTCAACGCTGTTGTGGAACAGGACTTGCTGATAACACGAAACATTGGGCAGTGACGGAGGCTGAGGGTGCCCTGTTGATAGCAAGTGCCCCAAACTGAGGGAGGGAGAAGTTGTAGACGCTGGTAGATACTGCTTCCAGGAATGGTATTCAGCAAAGAGGATTTGGGAACCTGCTTTTCATGACAGACTCATTGCTTGCTGGACGCAGAATACATGGCACTAGCCACCACACTCCAATCTTAACTCTGGTTCCGTAGGTAGCATGGGTTTTCATGTGGATTCCTAAATGTGCTCTTTCCAACATGTTCTGTGTTGAAGTGGGTTTTTTAATCATTGCCATGTAATAGGAAGATACATAATCTGTTATAGAAGTATCCATGTACTTTCACATGTCATTTGGCCAACACCCCTAGGCAATGTGAATATACACACTGCTTCTCTTCAAGAGGCTGCTTTTCCCCTCCGTTACTGGTGTGTTGGGTCGGAGTTATGTTGCTGAGTTTTGGTGAAATACAGTAATAAATATGACTGTTTCTGCTGAATGTGGCCTAAGCACAGTAGGAATCTCAAGAACTCACTACAACTACTGTAAATTACGTCTGCAAGAGCAGAAAAATTTAAGCTTGGTTTCTTGCAGTCAAAAAAACCTTGAATTCATCCTGTGTCCCCAAGAAATGATCGTCTCATTCTGTCTCCTGTTCTGGAGTCTTCCTGACCCCTAACGTAACAGCTCCTCAGGCACCCAAGTCCACTTGGGACAGATGGTGTCTTGTTCTGTTTGGTTGGGTTTTGCTTCATGTTTGTTTCAAGGCCAGCTCTGGTTTTTTTTTTTGGAGGGAGAACATTGATAGGCACTCCCGCGATGCCACATAGCCTTACAAGCTTGCAGTTCAACCACAGTTCAGCTGTTCCAGATTTTGCAGGCACAGGTACATTATGAGGTGACACTGAAGGATTTAGTTCATTGGTAAACTTATTCTGTGGGGCATGATTCCCAATATAGGGTATTTCTGCCATCAGTACAAGGGTCACTTTTCCTGTGCTTCCAAACCGTTAGAGCCTCACAGCATTCTGGTGCTCTTCCACAACTGGACTCTTAAAACATGCTCTGCAAGGCTCTGAAGTACAGCTTTATAGGCAGGAAGAATTGGCCTTATCCTCAAAATACATACATAGTAATATATACTTCCTTAATAAATTGGCTGAATTACAGGAGAGGCTTCTGTTACTCCTAGTGTTGTTAGTGCAGAGCCATCCAGCCCACTACCCATCATGTAAACAGCTTCAGCGTAGTCCCTAGTATTCAAAATCAAGGCTAAAGCACCTTTACAGTCTTCACAAAATACTACTCCTTTTCTGTAGTTTAACAATAACCTTGGCTTAAGTGGCAGAGTTGAGGCTTTTGTCTGAGCAAGGCAATGATTTGAGGGTTAGTGTTTTGCATTACTTGGGCCATAAATTTGCATTGTCGTTCAGGGATGTGGGTGGTGGTTTAGAGCAGCTCTAAAGCAAATCTGACCAAGATGCTTTAAGGCAGTTTTTGTGACCTGTGCTTCAGCCCCCTCAGGTCTCTTTCACCTGAACTGCAGCCGAGGCTCTCGGCCCTGGGAAGAGAACCTGCAGCCGGCATTTCTACCACCTCTGCTCTCTGTCCCATGGAGGTCAAGGTAAGAAACCCTGTCCCTGCCCCACGTAAAAGCACAAGTAGAGCAAAAATGTAAACTTTTATTTTTTTTTTTTTTCTCTTTCCCTCAGTCAAAAAATCCTGACAGACCATCCCACTCTTCTAAGACCAGCCCCCACCCCCAAAACACAGTGGATTTGGTTAGCTTTTTGGCTAAAGAAGGTTAAATAGACATACAAAACGTTAATGGCAATCTTTAAATACAGTGTAAAAAAAATGCCCTCAGCTGATGGAGTATCCCCTACCTTTCTTAAATAAATAGGTAAAATCAGTTACTACCGGATAAAGTGCAACAGTCGCGGAGCAGGGGTGAGGTTTGGGGTAGGGGGCCTCTCCCCCTCTGAGCCGCGTCCCCCCCCGGACCCGGTCTGGCGGGGGAGGACTTTTGGCCCCAAGGCCGGGGGGTTCCAGTTTTAACCCCCCCCGGGCGGCGCTCAGAGGGCCCGCAAGGCGCCGAGGGCGTTCTCCTCCCACTCCGAGCCCGACTCCGAGTAGCCGCTGGTGTCCTCGGCGTCCGAGACGGGCGAGTACTGCCCGCAGAAACCGCGACCCGGCGGGCAGGGAACCGGGGGCGGCCCCGCCAAGGGTGCGGCCGCCGCCCCCCCGGGCTGGCTGGGCGGGAAACCCTCGAAGCCGGGTCCGGGGGGAAAGGCGGCGACCGGCGGCCACTCGTAGGGCGCCGACCCCTCCTCCTCGGTCTGGACGAGCTGGGCCACGCCGGGGAGGGCGTAGCGGGGCGGCTCCGGGGCGCGCAGGGCGGCGAAGCGGGGGGGCCGCGGGTAGCCCGGCGGCGGCTCGGCGGCGGGGCCGGGGCGGGGAGGTCCCCGCTGGCGGCGGGACTTGGCGCGCCGGTTCTGGAACCAGACCTGGGGACGAGAGAGGGCGGTTGGGGGGGGGGGGGGGGGGGGGGGGGCGACCCCGGGGTTGGGGCGGCGCTGCCGGCGCCCCTCACCTGGATGCGGGACTCGGGGATCTGCGTGGCGTCGGCCAGCTTCTCCCGCAGGTAGATGTCGGGGTACATGGTGTCCTGGAAGACCAGCTCCAGCGTTTCCAGCTGCGCCGCCGTGAAGCTGGTCCGCTTCCGACGCTGCGAGGCGGCCGGCGCCCCCTCCGCCGGCTCCGCCGCCCCCCCGGCCCGGCCCGCCGCCGGGGGAAGCGCCCTGAGGGCGGGCGAGGCCGGGCCGGGCCCGCCGCCCCCCGCCCACCTGCCCGCGGGGAAGGCGGGCGGCTCGGCCGGGGGCTCCCCGAAGCGCAGCGCGGCCATGGCAGCGGGCCAGGAGGGGGGCCCCGGCCGTCCCAACGCCCTTTATAGCCGGGGAGGGGGCTCGGCGGGGGCGGGGGTTCGGAGGGAGGCGGGGGCGCGGGGCTCCGGGCCCCCCTCCCGCCGAGCCGCCTGGCCCCGCACCCCGGGTTTGCGGGTGGGGTGCCCGCCCTGAGCGGCCTCAGCCCCCCGGGGGTGGCTCAGCGGCGGCCGGGGCACCGTAACCCCACGCGTGTCCGAGGGGGTGGGTGGCGGCCCTCGCCCCCCTGCCCCAAACACAGAGCGGGCTTTGCGTCCGCCTTCTGTGGGCAAAACAGCAGGGTGCTGGGGGGTCGGCACCCCGGGTAGGGCCCGTTCCCACAGCTGGGTGATTTCTGATACAACATCTGGGCTGGTGCGGTGGTTACAGGGGTTGGGTGCGGGGGTGGGTGTTTTCCAGCAGCTGCCTGCTTTGGCGCGAAGGATTCCCGCGTGGCGCGAGACTCAACGTAAACAAAAGTTCTCCCTTCCCGTGGCGGCGGCTGCTCCGTGCGCAGCACATTGCGAGCTGCGCGCCCGGCGTTCCGCCGCCCGCTGTGCCTGCTGCTGCAGAGACATCTCTCTTCTTTTTTAAGATGAAAGTTAAACGCACCTGGAGAGCTCAGACCGGGCAGAGGCAGAGGCTGGTGTCCTCGCCTTTTCCACCCACTCGCTAACGCCTCCGTGCTCCCGCTCGCCCAGCCCAGGCGCTTCTGCGATAACCGGAGAGAGATTCCTGCTGAGGCCTTGCCCGTGCAACGGGCTGCGCCCGGCCGCCACAGGGCTGTCTCCTATGAAAAGTGACTTTGTCCGAAAGAGCAGAGTTTCAGTGGTTAAAAGCCCATTTTTTAAAGGTTTATTCCTAAAGCGTTTGTACCTTTGTGCTTTTACACGTGCAGTGATCCGGGTGCTTCTGTTAATGAAGTTTCTAGGTCATTTGTTCCCGAAATTGTGGCGTGTAGTCTGCTGACGGCGGTCAGAAACATGAGACTTGTAGAGCATTCTCAATTAGCTGGGTAATGGTGGTAAGGAAGGGCACAGGTGAGTGGTGATCCTGAAAGCATGGACAGCATTATTTTAGGTTTTTAACAAAAGACTTGGGGAGAGTTGAGTTACTCTGCAGATTTAGAAAATACCACAGGGGGCACCAAAAGGGGGTTACTCCATATTACGTTTACATGATGAATATTTTACATCAAATAACACTTGCTGAAAAGCACAAGCAGAAGTTTCTTTCCTGTGTAATGCAGAGTGGAGATGTGACATCCTTTAGGTTTCTGAAAGATTTAATCCTGCTTTGAATTATGCCCTTATAGAGATACTGACTTCAGTTTCCAGGTTTTGGTTAAGATGCATTAAGTACGCCAGACAGAGCGAGCAGCTTTTTCAGGGAAATGTGTTTTTTCACCCATGTACATGTGGTTTTCTTTCAGCAGCCCAGGCCCAAGTAGCTGCTGGCATCCTAGGCCCCTCACTGTTCCCCCCCATCCTGCTGCTTTCCCTTCAGCTGAGTGGGTTGCTAAGCCGTGTGTGAGTCCACAGTGTGATCAGGGAACTAATCCAAGTTAAATTAACTGTACTGTAGCAGCAGGTTTGTTGGGGTTTTTTTACCCAGCTCCAGGATTCCCCGCCCGTGGGTCACCAGCAGCCCCTGGGACAGCTGTACCAGCGAGGGGGCACTGCCAGGTGGAGCAGGAGGGGATTGAGGGGATCCCATCTGGGGGTGTTTCTAGGACTGCCGCCTCCTGGGTCTGATGCTGAGCTAGAAGAGGACAAAACTGAGGCAGACGGCCCAGGAGCGTGGTGGTTTTCAGTGTCAGACTTCCCATTAAGATGACTACTTTTATCAATGTATATTGAATACATACTCAGGAAAGATCGAGTGCTGGGAGCTAATAGACCTATTCCCAACTCATAAATCTGGAAATGGGCTGGCTCTTTGATCTCTGACTGCTGTGACATCCTTCGGGCTAAAAGACCTCTCAGTTCCCTTGCACTTTATGGTGCAAGAGGTGTTCCAATAGCTCTCTTGTAACAGCAGCTAACATGCTTCCCCTGTGGAGGAAATGAATGGAGACCTTCCCCGGGCCTGAAAGTTTTCATTGAGTGACACAGATATAACATTTATAGACCATAAAAAAGAAAAGTCCACTTCGTTCCAGGGGAAGAAAAATTACTTCTACGTACTAAACTTTGCTGCAGTAGATCTTGTGCATGAGTGCAGTTCGACCGCTAGTTCAGCGATACGGAATGGGAAGCCCGTGTTTTGCAGCTCTGTAAAACAGGCTAGGTACACCTGTGCCGCCGGCACCGAATCGTGTGGGCAAAATGGTCAGTGCCCTCAGTGCAGCCCAGAATTCCACGCACCGGCCCCAGGCTACGGGGCTCGCGCTCAGTCGCCGGATTGCCCGTCTGCAGAGGATTGCATCTGCTGGCAGACGTTCCTGCAGTTTGCCCACGAGAGGCTGAGGCAGCCGTAGGCTGCGCTGCCTGCCTGCACGCCTTTGGTGCTGACCTCAGCTTCCTTCCACTCTCTCTGCCTCAGTTTCCTTTCCTGGGCTGGCTGGCTCACACCAGCACGTTGATCTACCTGGGGATGAGTCCTCCTGTGTGTACCAGTGGTACGTGCTGGGGGTGAAAGCAGAGCAATTCTGGAGCAAGACCGGAGCCCAGGAATCATATATTCCCTTTCCCGTGGCTCAAAGCATTACACACTAATTTCCTCTGTGGGAACCTGGTGGCCACCCTCCTCTGTTGGCTTGGTTTGAAAGGGATCTGAGATTGAAGAAAGGCAAGGGGGACAGCGCTCTAATTGTAAAGGAGTGTGCTGTTAGGTGGAGATCAGCGTAGGAGGCTTTTGCCTCCTCCCAAGCAAGCAGGATGGCATGAAAGACAGCTCTTTGCTTTCTTCTGCCAGTTCTCTCCCCTCCCAACGTTGGCACACCTCTCCGCAGCTCCCACAGAGTGTCATCCCACCGATGTGCTAAAAGCGATGCCTGTGAGGAACTGCAGCGTGCCTCCTGCAGCAAGGGAAAAAAAAAAAAAAAAAAAAGCACTGTGTCTGGATTCGGCAGTTTCCTTTTCCTGACAAGAAGTTTTGCATCCTGCTGTGCCCCTTGCAGTCTGATGAGGAGGTTTCCAGTGCCTTGTAGGTGCCAGCATCTGCATGGAGTGATACCTGGGCAGACGCTGGCAGCATTTAGGAAGACATTCCTACTTTCATCCCTTCCTGTTCTGTATACTTGCTTTTATTTGTGTCCTGTCTAGGCACAGAGGGGGATTTTTACTTCTTCCCTCAAGACGCAGAAGCTATGACTGTGTGTCCAGAAGCGGCTTGCTTTTTGAAATTAGGATGGCTAAAATGGAGATCACTATATCTAAGGGAAGAACAGACTATCTTGTGTAGATAGCAGAGATGAGAGCCTGCTTCAGAGGCTGATTACGTTGTTCTTCACCGTATTTATCAAAAGAGAAACTCCTTATGCTTTTGTCCGTGCCGGGACAAAAGCACACTGGACAAAAAGCACACTGAGGTGCGTGCACCAGGTTTGCTGGCCCGTTGGCTCTTCAGCCTTTTGCACATCAAGCTGTGGCGTCTCTCTCAGGCTGTTGAGGGCCACAAAGTCATCTTTTAAACATGCAGATTAAGATCCAGCCTTACGTGACTTGAGGAGCTGGAGCTTGGGAGGCATCCCAGAACGCACGGCAAGAGTAGGCGGCAGTGTGACATTCAGTCGTGCCTTTGCTGCCAAAACAAACACGCCCCTGTAGATAACTAACACACAGGAGCAGTGCTGCTGCTCCGTCCTGGAGGGAATGAGACACAGTGGGGTTTGCCATGCAGTGGTTTGTAACCACTAGCACAGGATTTGCTGTGTTCAAACCCCTCTGGCTTGTCACATCACTTTGTTCCTTCGAGGACTCTGCAGGGAGACAGCTCTTGCACAGGATTTTTGCTTTCCAGCAAAGCTCATTATTTTTTTTTTCTTTTTGGTGGCTGCCTTTGACATGAATTCTCTGGTGTCTAAACCCAAGATCGAAGCTTTTAGTAGTGCAAATTTAGCAGTCTCTTGTCTCCCTGACTAAACTTGCAAAGACTTGGTATCTTGGAGATCTTAATTTCTATATCCGTTTTAACTGAAACTGGCCAATGGGTTCAAACGCTTATATTAGGAGACTGAGCAAAAAAAGCAACTGAGAGGTCACACAAACCTGACATAATTAACTTAAACTTTAAGAAAAAACAAACACATTTTTGCTGTTAAGACTTAGCTTAAGTTTAAATTATAATGAAGAAGCAATGCCTGTATAACTATCTCACAAATAAAATTAATTGTAGGCCAGACACATTTTTATGGTTGCATATATAACTACATTTGTTCCAGAGCTTCTGCTATCAAGAAAATGCCATATAATTTCCAGTTCCTCTAGCAGGGCCCCAATAGCAAAAATCATTAATGCACACTAGGCTTAGGTTCTGAGGGTTTTTTTTAATTCTGCCTAGGAGGAAATCTTTAGATGAATGCTTAATTTCCTTCTGATTGATTCTAGTCACTGTGACAACGCTCTTTTCAGCCTCCGAATGCTTTTAGAGGTTTATCAGGTCTTCCCAGTGTACATACACCAAGCTCTATTTATTGAGGCACATCCAGGCTTTTAGGTGGAGTTCTGAGATCTCACGGTGACGGCATGTTTTTAATTTAAAGTTGTCATTTCATACTGTTTGTGGTTTTAGCCCATGAGGCTATAACAAGGAAGAGCTTGAGAAGGTCCTCACTTTGGCATAGTTTGCAGGTGTCTTGAAGCATGTTCTTGAGAGACCTGAGCTGCCTGTCCATCGTGGATGTTCAGGTGTGACGCTGAGAGCTCCTTCTCGCCAGAGCCCCAGCAGGGTGCTGGGCAGCTCCTCACCGCCTCACCCTGCACATCATCCTCTGCTCCCAGGGGAGTCCCAGAACAGATCCCAGCCTCCCCGAGGACAGGGA